CAGCCTGCAGTTGCTTCAGAATCCATCCTGCAGCCCACAGTTGCTTCAGAATCCATCCTATAGGTCCCAGCTCTGCTGAGTCATTCTAAAGCAACCTTCAACACCATCGGCTAGCACACAAGCAGCAATACAGGTCAGCAGAGCTAAGGTGATATTCTTCTCTGCCAGCTGACTTGTTGTGAAGTGTGTTCGGAGCTGACGGGCTCCATAGCGAACTCTGAGCCCGACGCTTGGCAAGTTTAAGCCTTGTAGATTTCAGCTCCCAGAATCACAGAGCTAACGTGACTGGAGGAGGAATTCTGGGAGTTGAAGTCCACAAGGCTTAAAGCGGTCAAGTTTGAAGAGCCCTGTACTAACTTAACAACTGCAGTGATTCGCTCAACAGCTCTGGGAAGAAAAGTCGTAAAATGGGGCAGAGCCCACTGAGCAAATGTCACGCTCAGTGACACAAATTTTGGGCTCAGCTGCGGCCGCACGTCGAGGATTTCCTGTACATAAGTCCCCACACGTCAGCAATTGGCAGCTGCCTCGGCCGAGTGCATCTTGTCACAAGTGGAAGCAGAGGGTGAAGGTCAGGGGAGAGTGATTGGTGAGTGTAGGATGGCCAAAAGGGTGAGGAAGGAGGGCGGGAGATAAGGCGTCAAGGGGTATTAAACCGAAGGTGGGCGGGGTAGGGGGAAGCATGGAGTCCTCCCCTAACAACAGCACAGTCCTGGCCTATCAACCATAACCAGGACTAACAAAGCTGCATCACTAAGCGGCACCGTCACATGACGTTTGCCATGCTAGTGATGCCTTGCTTAGTCACCAAAATCCTGGCCCCCTAGTAGCTCATTAAGCCAACCCAGAGTTGTCTCCCCTGGTGGCCCAGTGGTTAAACCGCAGTATTTCCAGGCTGACTCTGCCCACAGCCTGGAGGTTCGATCCTTACAAGAGCTCAAGGTAGACTCAGCCTTCCATCCTTCCGAGGTCCATAAAACGAGGACTCCAGATTTGTCGTGGGCAATAAGCCGACTCCTATTAGCTGCTTAGAGAGGTGCTGTAAAGCACTGTGAAGCGGCGTATTGAGTCTTCGAAGCGCCGTTGCTATTAGCGCCGCTCTTTCTTGCGATCTCTCACATCCGGTTGGTTATTCCTGTAGTGGGAAGAGGAGGAGCTTGGTCCTAGGCCTGAGTATACGCAGCCCCTGGAGAGAGGGCCATCGGATGCCGGGCAGAAACTACAATTTTCCAGGGAGCTGAAGGTGGAAGAAGATTCTGATGCCGGTAAGATTTGAGGCGTTTGTTTTCATTGAAAGCCTTTTTGTGGCAGGCTGTCCAATCCAGGCGGTGAGACTCCAAGGGGCGGCATTTCCCATCCAAGGCATCTTTTAAGATGCACCTTTGTCCTTCTGCTCCAAAGTAAAAAATAAAAGATGTTTTTTTTTTGTAATATAAATAAATTTTATTAATTTTACAATTAAAACAAACCAACAACACATACATAAATGAAAGAAAAAAAGAGAGAAGAAAATAGAAAGAAAGAATAGAAAGCAATTAAAAACATTCCCATTTTCAACAGTTTGTTAGGAAAAAAAAATAGATCTAACAAAAATAAAAGATGTTTTTCTGCTCATCCTGGGCCTCCTTCCTTGTCATAAAGCGGTGTTTATTGATCCCGGCCACTTTAAGGTACGTCGACTTCAGCTCCCAGAATTCCCCAACCAGACTTTTCATAACTGATGGCCCATTATAAGTTTGGAGTAACTGGTCATTAAGTGAGAACTACCTAACTTTAGCGTAGAGAAGAGTGGTAAAGCATAAGAGAGAGTGTAGAGAAGAGCAACAAAGGTAATTAGGGGACCGGAGGCTAAAATATAGATGAAGAACGGTTGCAGGCACTGAGTATGTTTAGTTTAACGAAAAGAAGGACTAGGGGAGACATGATAGCCGTCTTCCAATATCTCAGGGGCTGCCCCGAAGAAGAGGGAGTCAAGCTATTCCCCAAAGCACCTGAGGGCAGGACAAGAAGCCAAGGGTGGAAACTAATCAAGGGGAGAAGCAACTTAGAACTAAGGAGAAAATTTCCTGGCATTAATCGTTGGAACAACTTGCCTCCAGAAGTTGTGAGTTCTCTAACACTGGAGGTTTTTAAGAAGAGACTGGACAACCATTTGTCTAAAATGGTATACGGTTTCTTGCTTGACCAGGGGGCTGGACTAGAAGACCTCCAAGAGCCCTTCCAAGTCCGTTACTCAGTGATGACACCTTTTCCTTTCTTGATACCAACTGGTAAAGGCTGTCTTACAATTCTAGGCACACAACATCCAGGAAGTGGATGGATCTGAAAAACCAGAAAGTCCAGTTGCCTCTTTAAATAAAGCAGCTTTCGGGACATCCGGGAAGTAGTTTCTTCGCAGTCAGATATCGTTAGTTCTGTTTAAGCATATTCTCGTGTGTCTTGAGTACTCTCTCATTGGAGATGCGTTGTTAGTGTTTGGGGATAAACCCCCCGAGTAGAGTGCACAGCAGCAGTCAAGCCAGGCAGCCAAATGAGAGAGAGGCTGGGCCCAAGAGTATACACACACTTGAGACAAAAACACTGTTTGTGGTTTTTAAATAGATATTTAATTCACACAGAGATTAAGAATAGTCATTCAGTCCATATGTCAGTATCCAGTTTATCCATCCAGTTACCTAGTCTTTTAAACAGTAAATACAATGTCTTTATCTGCTTGTTAATCTTCTTCTTCTGATACCTTTCTCTCAAATACAATGCTGAGTATGAAACAGCTCACCAAGCAAACATTCCTTGTGTTCAGTAGAGAGAAAATATCTTGCACAGTAGACATCTCATACAGGAGGAAACAGTAGGCAAACAGACAGCAGACAGACCAGAGACCAGTAACACCAGGAACCACCAGGAATCAGACCAGGGACTCGAAACCAGTATCAGAAACCAGGAAGTGTTACGTCTCTCTCACTGCCTATTATTTCAGCCTGCAACCGCACCCATAATTATGCAATGACATTGCAGTTTGGAGCTTAAAGTTGCAAACGCTTAAACCTAGGTTTTATATATTCATTCACCCAAACCAGTTGGTGTATCCATATACCCAACATGCGTTTTGTCGTTTCTGCAGATCTTTGGAACCTGCACGAGAGTGAAAATCCCCTGCAGGGAAGGACAAAGCAAACAGAGCAACCTGGGGTGCCTCCGGAGAGAGCGAATAGCGTTGCTCTACCTTTTTGTGATCCAGAAGAGAATCTTGGAGGACAGCAGGGAGTCTACCGCATGGAGGGGACTCCGTTTGTCATCAGTGACGAGGATGGTATGAAAGCAGAAATCATTGTCTTCTGTTCAGACACGCAGAAGGAGAAAATGAGGAAACAGTGCCTGGTGTGTGGGAAAAGCTTCTCGCGAAACTCAGCCCTTACCCGGCACGAAAGGATCCACACGGGAGAGAAAGCATACAGATGCTTCCAGTGCGACAAAAGTTTCTACGATAAGACAGCCCTGAAAAGACATCAAAGAACCCACAATACCGATCGAGGTTATCCTTATGTCTCTCAAACCCAGCCAGGTGAGAGTTTGCCTCTTCCTTCCTCAGACCAAATCACACAGAACATCTGCGGCGAATGTGGGAAACGATTCGACAGTGTACTGGACCTAAATGTACATAAAACAATTCACCAGGAGCAGATTCCCAATGGCAGGACAGGGAGTGGAGAGACATCTGGAAAAAAACAAATTCTGGAGCCGAAGAAACACCCGGAGCCCCTTGCTGTACAGAAAACTTACAAGTGTCCCGAGTGCGAGAAAAGCTTCATTTGGGTTTCATCGTATCACAGGCATAAAAAGATCCATTTGAGGAACAAATCTCTCCCACTTTTGTATCAAAACAAAAGCTTCAAGCAAGGGTCCCATCTCATGAAATTTCAGCCTTCCCTCATTGGAAAGAATCTCTATAAATGCCCTGAATGTGAGAAGAGTTTCCCGGCGCTCAAATCCTTGGAAGAACATAAAAAACTCCACCAGACAGTAAAACCAAACAGCTCTTCACAAATAGCACTTGAAACAAAAGACAAAACCTGTTCGGAGTGCGGGAAGTTTTTTGATCGGCTGTCCCACCTAAAAAGGCACCAACGGGTCCATACGGGTGAGAAACCTTACAAGTGCCCGAAATGCGAGGAGAGGTTCATGTGGCAGGGAGCTTTCGTAAGACACCTGAAGGTCCATAAGAAGCAGAAGCCAATGCCTCTGGTGCCAACGGTGTCCGTTTCACAGGAGAAACCTAATCAGTGTTTGGAGTGCGGGAAGTCGTTCAGACAACACTCAGACCTCACGCGACATTGGCGAGTCCACACTGGTGAGAAGCCCCACAGATGTACGGAATGTGGGGAGTCCTTCATGTGGCCTTCGTCTCTCAATCTGCATCGGAAGAAGGTCCATAGAGGGAAGCGATTGGTCCCCCTCCTCCAAAAATTACCCCTGGGGCAAGGGAGATCCTACAAATGTTTCGAGTGCGGTAAAAGATTCGACCGTTCCTCGAGTCTAATAAACCACCAGCGCACTCACACCAGAGAAAAAACGTACCCGTGCACCAGCTGTGAGAAGAGTTTCATGTGTGCTCGCTCTCTTCTGAGACACCGAAAGATCCACGAGACCAGGAAAGCAGGAGGCCCTTTGCCCCCGAAACCCACTCTGGGAGATAAATCCTATGTCTGTTCCGATTGCGGGAAACGCTTTGTCTATTCGTATCTCTTGAGTCGGCATCGACGTATCCACACCGGAGAGAAACCGTACAAATGTGCCAAATGCGGCGAGAGCTTCAGGTGGGCTTCCTCGTTTAGCCTGCACCAAAAGAAGGTCCACGCAGAAACGAAGGCGGCTCATCTCCTCCCAAGACAGTCGGACAGGCAGAAAAAACCATACGAGTGTTTGGAGTGCGGGAAAGAATTCAGGATACCTTCCCATCTCTCAAGCCATCAGAGCACTCACACCGGGGAGAGGAGGCACAAGTGCACCACTTGTGGGAAAAGTTTCTTCTGGCAGTCCTCGTTATCGGTGCATCGTAAGGATTTTCATAAGAGCGAGGAAAAGGAACCGGTCCCCGCTTTGCAACCCGTATCTCAGGGACAAGGCAATTCCAAACCCCAGCAGGTCCCTGCTGAAGAGAAAGCTTTCAAATGCTCCAAGTGCGAAAAGAGCTTTGCGGGGTTTTCAGCTCTTCTGCGACATAGAAAGATCCACGAGAGAGAGAAACTCGGGCTTTTTTTCCAAACAAGACCAGACACCCCAGGGAAATCGTATCCCTGCACCGAGTGTGGGAAAAACTTCAATTGGCCATCCCGCCTCTTAAGACATCAGCGCATCCATTCGCAGGAGAGGCCCTGTCAGTGCCCTGATTGCGGAGAGAGTTTTAGATGGGATTCGGCTCTTAAAGCCCACCAGGAGAAGACCCATAAACAGAAGCCAGCAGTCTCTTTCCTGCCCAAAGAGGACACGGTCAAAGCGGAAAATCACCCCTGCGCGGAGTGTGGAGACACCTTCAACTCCGTGTCGTCTCTTATAAAGCATCAGAGCATCCACGCAGGAGAAAAACTCGATCAATCCAGCCACTGCGAAGAGAATTTCCCATGGAATTCAGCCCTCCAAGAATCCCCGAAGGCTTGTAAGGAAAAAGAACCGGACTTCCTGCTTCAAAAGCTACCTAGTAAATGTGGAACCACCTACCCTTGTCTCCAGTGCGGGAAAATTTTTCCCAAATCGAAGCTGCTGCAGAAACACAAACGGATCCACCTCAAGGAGAAGCGTTACACCTGCACTGAATGCGGGAAGCATTTCACACAATCCGCAAGCTTGAAAAGACACTGGTTCACTCACCAAAAAGAGAAGATGTTCCACTGCTCGCACTGCGAGAAAAGCTTCGTATTCAAAGATAGCCTCACGAGGCACGAGAAGTCTCACTCTGGGCTGGCAGAGCTCACCGTGCAAGTATTGGACAAAGAATTCCTCGCCACTCCGGAATCACCCCAATGCCTCGCGTCGGAACCCGACATATGTGGCAGTCCCCTAGAACTCCAAGCAGAGAACCCCATTCCATCTTTGAATGCTCCGGAAGTGGTGGCGACATGATCTCAAAGGGGGACCAATCGATACAGAAGCCAGTATTAAGAAATCGTGCTGCGTGTTTCAGCAGCAAACCTGAGGAAAGATCGCCAGCCCTGTCAATTTTAACGGAAGAAAACCTTCCGGAATCTTCTCTGAGCCGTAACATAATGAAAGCGATGGTCCCACCGAAGGGGACGGGGAAGGGCAGAATATCGGCAAACCTTGAGTTTTGCCTGTCTGGGGCCACGTTGGTTTGTGCTTCCCGGACCCTTATTTACAGTTTAGAAATTCCAACATGGATGTCCATCTGACATCTGACTTTTGTTATGGAACGCAACGTCATATCAGTTGGCTCTTGTATATTGGTAGATGCAGATAGTTGAGTTGAGTTGAGTTGGGTGGGGCAAGAGGGAACAGACTCAGGGTTTTCAGTATATTGACAAAAACTAATAAATGTAAAAAACAAGGAAATACGTTTGTGCCATGTCACCGAAAATACTGCGGTGTTGATTCTTGTGTGAAAGTCCTCAGAGGTGTAAGTAATACAATGGTTGGGAATTCTTTTGCATCGTTCAACTTTTATCGTCTTGATCACAATCTGTTATTTGTTCAGTTTTATGGAAGGGAACTACTAATAAACGCAATGTACAGAATGAACCAATGGGGCTTCTGCTGTTCTTCCTTAGGAGTGATTTGGATACCTTACATCATCATCCCAGAGTACATTTGTGAACACCCCCAAGTCTAATCTTGACACCCCCAGGGAGGTGAGAAGAAATCTGGAAGCTGTTGCAAGGGTTGGACCCATATTGGCCTAAGCTGTGATTTGTTTTGAGCCTTGGTCTGTTGAATAAACCGCATTTAGCTGGGCACTCACAACATAATGTTCAGAACCAGAGGTCACGCTAAGCTATAATCGGATAGGGGGGTGGGTTCTTTTATTTGGAGGTCCTGTGCGGTGGTGTGATTCAAACTGGTGTAACAACTGGTTCGGTGATCCTTCGCGCACGTGCGCACCAAACGCGTGCTCCTATTACTTACCTTCAACTGCAGTGAATGTTGTGAATAAAACAGCTGAGACGCGGCAAACAGCTCTGCTGCGTGAATCAGCTGTGTTCTTAAAAAAGATGAAATAAAGCACAGGAAAAAGCAGGGGAGGGTGGGTGGGTGGGCCCACGTGCTCGTTGGAGCAAACTTGTTTGGAGCCAGCTGATCATCGGAACTAGGCATTTGTCTAAAGCGGTCCGAACCAGGAGAATCACCACCCCTGGTCCTATGCCAGGGGTATCAAACTCAAAGCCGGGGTGTTTAGATCTGGCCCATGGGGCCACTCTGGAAACCGCAAAGGCCTGGCCCCCAGTACCTCTGCCAGCAAAAACTGAGCTTCGGAGGGCTGATGCGGCCCTCCCAGAGCCCATTCTTGGCCGTGATGGCCTCCTGAAGCCCTCTACCAGTGAAAACAGAGACCTCTGTTTTCACTGGCGGAGGGCTGCAGGAGGCCATCACGGCCTAAAATGGGGCCCAGGAGGATACGTGTGGCCCACCTTAGCTCTGTTTTCACTAGTGGAGGGCTGCAGGAGGCCATCGCAGCCAAAAAACTGGACCCAGGGGGATAGGTGTGGCCTACCTGAGCTCTATTTTCACTAGCGGAGGGGTGCAGGAGGCCGTGACGGCCTAAAACAGGGCCCAGGGGGATAGGTGTGGCCCACCTGAGCTCTGTTTTCGCTAGTGGAGGGCTACAGGAGGCCTTCACGGCCAAAAACGGATCCAGGGGGGGATACATGTGGCCCACCTGAGCTGTTTTCACTGGCAGAGGGCTGCAGGAGGCCATCGCAGCCCAAAACTGAGCTCAGGAGCCTGTTTTCGCTGGCAGGGCACTCAAGCCACCACAGGCACCCCGACATGAGTTACATCGAGCAGGTCACACCCACCCCTTGACACGACCCTGATGCAGCCCTCAATGAAATGGAGTTTGACACCCCTCCCTATGCTGTCGAATTCTGCCAGTCGTCGATGGGCTGGAGTACAGGTTAGTCCTCGAATTACCGCCATTCCTTTAGTGCCCATTCGAACTTGAAAAGGCACTGAAAAAATTGACGTACGCTTTTTTTTCCCCCACACTTAAGACCGTTGCAGCCATGGTCACATGATCAAAATTCAGACGCTGGTTCATATTTATGACGGTTGCAGTGTCCCAGGCTTATGCTATCTCCTTTTGCGACCTCATCAGCCAGGTCAATGGGGAAGCCGTATTGAGTGAACATCCCTGTTACGAACTTTTAACAGCTGCAGCGATCGGCTTAAACCACCATAGCAAGGAAGGTGGTAAAATGAGGCAAAACTCACTTAATGAGCTGTGGTGGCGCAAGTGGTTAGAATGCAGTACTGCAGGCTACTTCTGCTGCCTGCCGGCTGCCTGCAATTTGGCAGTTCAAATTCCACCAGGCTCAAGGTTAACTTAGCCTTCCATCCTTCTGTGGTGGGTAAAATGAGGACCCAGATTGTTGGGGGCAAGAGGCTGACTGTAAACCGCTTAGAGAGGACTGTGAAGCGGTATATAAGTGCTATCACTAACAATTGTCTTACCTAGGAACAGGAATTTGGGGCTCAATTGGGGTTGTAAGTC